CAGGCATATGCTACTACACCCAGCTCTTTGTAGTACTAAGAGCTAAATCTAAGAGCATAAATCTAATTTTTTGTGTTTAATATTTGTTCTGTCTGGACTTTATTTTGCAGTGAGAACCAAAGGAGGGATTTAACTCTTTTGGGGTTTTTTCTCCCCAGCTTCATCCCTTTACTATTTACCAAACATTTTTCTTTCAGTGATTTGAAATGTCAGCTGTCCTATATAAAATTTCTCTTTAATGTTTAGGCATATTTCTGGACATTGCCATCTTTTCACTGCTTGGTCTATCCATTCATGTTCCAGTATCATTTTAGTTTGGTGGGACTGGGATTTGAACTCAGGGCTTCACATTTGCAAACAGGCACTCTACCACTCAAGCCACACCTCCAGTCCATTTTGTTGTGGTTATTTTGGAAATGGGGGTTTCATGAACTATTTGTCCACCTGACCTCAAACCGTGATCCTCCTGATCGCAACCTCTCATGTAGTTAAGATTACAGGCATGAGCCACCAGCACTTGGCTTTGTTTTGTTTTTATTACTAACTTGTTTTATTTAGCTTGTTCATGTGTCAGTAATAACAGTGGTGGAAGCTCTAGAATACTTTCTAATATCTGGGAAGATGTTCACTGCTCTTTCAAGTGTTTCAAATGGGTCCTATCTCTTCAACAAGACTGTAACTCCTGACTTTATATTCCAGATTTTTCTATGGCACCCAGAACAATGGTGAGAACCTGGCAGATGGTTAATAAACATTTGGTTCTCAAAAACAAACTTTCCAATTCTTAACACTGATCTGTTGCTCCTCGAGTGAAGTCCTGAGGACTGTGTAGTGACAACTGGGCTCTACACCTGGACTTGTGCCATGGTCAAGAGCACGCTTTTTGCTGTAGCCAGTAGACTGGATTAGCATTTTGCCCTAGGTGGATAGCAGGTGAATGGACCCCCTGAAAAGCAGCCTAGTGCATCAGAATGGACAAGGGCTTTTGATCTGAGTGTGAGCCTTGGCTCTACCACCAAGTAACACTGTTACGTTGGCAGGTTGTTTACTCTCTCTGAACCTCTCTTTTCTCATCTGTAAAATGGGACTGATACTATCTCCCTTGTCAAGCAGCTGTTAAGATAAAATGTGATGCAAGTTGTAAAGCTACTATGCTTTCTTTCTTCCTTCCTCCCTGGTATTACAATGACAGATTCTGCTATTGATGGCAGTAATCATTGTAGTTGCAGCAGGAATTATTCAACAGGAATTTATTGAATGTGCAGAAAAAAACCCTAATCACCAGACTTTGGACTTTGGATCCTGAAGTAGCAAAAAGTGCCTCTGATAAAAGGAAAATAATCATAATAATCACCTTTACCTGGCCATTTCCCAGATGTTACGGTTTGAATGTGAAATGTTCCCCCACAGACTCCTGATTGTGTGGTTCCCAGCTGGTGGTGCTCATTTGAAAGGTTCTGGAAACTTTAGGAGGTGGGGCCTAGTCAGAAGAAGTAGGTCACAGGGTAAGCCTTAGCCCCCAGCCCTTCCCTCCTTTATTTGCTGTCTATCACCAGATGAGCAGCCTCCTCTTCCACCCACTCCTTCTTCACCACAGGTACAGAAATACAGAACCAAGTGGCCATAGACTGAAATCCCTGCAAGCATGAGCTAAAACAAATCCTTCCTTAAGTTGTTTATGTCAGGTGCTTTGTTACAGCAACATGAAAGTAACTAATACATTGTATGTCAGGTGCTGGGTGACCAGGCCAGAGAGGTGGCATTGCCCCAGGAAAAGCTCAGTCTCTGGAGCCACCTTCCCACTTACCCAAGCCACCTTCCTTGAGAAAGCTACTTTATTTCAGCTTCCTCTTCCTGCGGAAGGGATCATATAGCCAGCCCACACATCATACCCAGAACAGGGCCTAACACACAGCAAGAGTTCAGGATCGCTGTCACTTAGTTCTCGTTTGTTCCTCACACTGTGCCCTCACTATCTACTGCTCTAAGTCCTTGTTAAGAGACTGGAAGAAGGACAGACTCAGCTGAAGCAATTTTAAGATGGGATTAGTAATTAACACACTTTCCCTCCTTTCTCCCTCCAAGCCTATTTGTTCAACCTGAATGAAGAGGCTTTCCAATGTATTACTATTGAGGTAATTGAGTAATAAATTATGTCATTGATAGGAACAGCCAATATCATTGAGAAACATTGCCATTCTACCTTGTTACCAATAAAACACAAGATGAACGGGCAATCTGGTTTAACCCCTCTTCTCCTGAAAGCACCAGATCGATATGTGAGTGCTGAATTGGATTTAGTAAAACAATTGAGGTTTGTTCCTGTGCCTTCTTCTCAGAGGTCAAAGGCACCCCAAATACAGTTACAAGGGACCACATTAAAGCCAGACTTTCTGTTGAGTGACTGAGGTAGACTTCAATCTCTTCCATCCTCTAACCATGTCCCCCAATCTCTACCTACATACTGTCTTCGAAATACATACTTGTTCTCTTATTTTAGTTTCTCTTTGGCCATTCATGACCACCATCCCCTCAGGTGTTCCATTTTTTGTATCTTTGCCCCTGTCCTGAAATGATGAAGCAGAGGAACGTCTAAACCACCCCATGATGGGAACCATTCTCAGTTACCTGCTGGTCCCGATGATGCCTGGGATATGCTGGGGGCAGCTACAGCAGGGATGAGACCCAAGGCTGAGGTTGAGGCAGGGCAAACTTAAGTTTGAGTATCAAAGACAGAGCTCCCCCAACTATTTAGCCAAGGCACAGAGGAGGCCACCAGTATTTGGACAGGACTTTGAGGAGAGAGGACACAGTTGCTGGTAGAGGGGACAGGAGGACAAGAAAAGTTATCTTCATATCCTCTATCCATAGCCAAGCTCTGTAGGGGTGGGGTGACCTTCCTTGAAGGGAGGTTATGGGTCTTGCTGACTCATTTTTTTCCCCTTCCCATGGGTGACAAAAATTGAGATCCATCAGTTTTGGTGAGAATTCCTCCTCAGAGAATGTCCCTGTGGTTGACATGACAGCATATCATGCCCCTCCCTCCATCCCAGCCATCCCATGATTGCAGTACAGCAATCATGCACAGCTACAGATAAAGATGGAACTAGCTCACTGCAGTAGATCTTAAGAGAAAACAGGCCAAGTCTCCTCTTATAAACCTGTTTCTCAATCCTGTAGGGTATGTAGGCCTCTGGATTCTAAGCCTAGTTTTCTGACAATGGAAGGCAAGCTCTCTAGTCCTGCTGTGCTGACCCCAATGAGTCCTGAGTAGTTGTGGGGTTTTATCAGACATGGACTTTTTATAGGCATATTTATTTATTGAAGACATCAGAGGCCAATGTGCCTGAACAATCGACCCGACCAGCATCATGTCCGTCTCTCCTTCACTCAGGGACTGAGGCTGGGTGAAATGGTATTGTTGTCTTTTCTCTCCCACTTCTTTCTACAACCTCCCCTCCGCACGTCCTCATGGACACACAGCGTTTCCATGATTCCAATGACTGTGTGTAGAATGTGAACTGACTGTGTGAACACTAAACCACAATGCTGCTCCTGATTTTACATGTAAATCTTCCTTTCCAGGATGAAAATGGGATTTTGTTCTCTGGGAACCCTGCTGTATTCCTACTCAGAGCTCTAGGCATTCAGCATCAATTTTCAGGCTTTTTATACAGTCAGAGCTTCTAAAAGAAATTTGCTATTGTTAATGAGACTGAGATGGGAAAACAGGTCACAGCAAGTTAGCCAAAGTCTAACAGTGGTTTCTCCCCCTAACCTTTTCCTATTTGGATATGCTATATGCAGACAAATATTCCAGTCCACAGTCTACTAGTGTAGTGAATGGGCTTTGGTGTCAGACAGTCAAATCCTGACTTTGCCACCAAGATTGTCTGACCTTAATCAAGTTACTTAACTCCTCTGAGTCTCAATTTCTCCTTGCCTAATTGGGTTATTGAGAAGAATAAATGAGATAATGTTGGTACAGTGTTTAATGCTAGGCTTGGCTCAGAGAAAACTGTTCACATAACAATACCACTTAGCAGGCCTCTTGAGTGCTGGGATTCCAATTAACTGATTGAACCCTCTTGACATTTCTTTAGTATAAATGGTATAGGCAGCATTATGGCTGTGCTTCAGAAAGGGAAACTGAGCCAAGGAGAAAAAGTGACTTGATCCAAGGTCACACAGATCCTTAAGGACAAAGTCAAGGCTAAAATCCAGTAGCTTCAATAACTTCTGGCATGCTCTTAATATTCTATGTTTTGTAAGCACGATGACTAACATGACATTTATTAATCAAACAGAGTGACACACTTAGAAAAAGTATGTAGGGGGCAGGGGGAAAGGGACAGGGCGGGGGGAGAAGGGTGGAGAAATCACTCAAACGTTGTATGCACATATGAATAAAAAAAAAAAAAAGAAAAAGTGTGTAAATTACCAAAGCAATGATGGACCTATGAGGTTCTAGAAGAATGAATGAATGAACGAACTACCTAATTCTTCCTCCATTAGTCTCTGGTTAGCATTGAGTTCAAATGTCATGCATGGTCCTCCGTGCTTTGCATACACAATCTCATTTCATCTTTCAAGATAACCCATGAACCTAGTGCCAGTGGCTCACACCTGTAATCCTAGCTATTTAGGAGGCAGAGATTGGGAGGATGGTGGTTCAAAGCCAGCTGTGAGCAAACAGTTTGTGAGACCCTATCTCAAAAATACCCAACACAAAAATAGGGTGGCAGAGTGGCTCAAGTGGTAGAATGCCTGCCTAGCAAGCGTGAAGTCCTGAGTTCAAACCCCGGTCCCACACACACACAAAAAAGATGACCCATGAAATAAGTAGTACAAACACCATTTTACAGATAATGCAAAGGAGGTTCTGGGAGCTGAGGTTACATGTCCTGCTTCAGACAGCAAACTCAATGCCAAGTGCATTGCTTCAAATTGCTCCACTCAGTTTGTTCTGACTCTACAGAGTTGGAAGACCAGCCTCCCACAACAATTCCGACAAGGAGAAATAAGAAGGACTCACAGCAGGATGTGTAATTCCTCCAGCCAGTCACTGCAATCCCCTGAGTCTGGCAGGTGCTGGCATAGTTCTGTAGCCAGCTGCAGGCTGTCTGCTCTGCGCCCCCATCAATACAAGAGTCAATCAGGCAGTTCTTATAGAAGAAGGTGGGGTGGACTTTGCTGTGACACTTGGCGAAGCCAGCATTCTGGTTGGGGATCAGGCTGCATAGCTGTTGCACCTTGGAGAAACCTTCAGCCTTGGCACAGGATGGACAGCGGTCCCCACAGCCCACCTGGCAGAAGGTGTCCCTCTTCACCCAGCTCTGCCCAAACTCACTGACACTCAGTGCGAGCAGACCCATGGGCATCTCCAAGTCATCGTCCGGGTTGCCGTTGTAGCGGCCACACAGGCCATAGGTGCTGTTCTGCGTGCTGCGTGGGACTGTGATGGACAGGAAGGTCTTCCAGTCATACACAACCTTCAGGCCAAAGTCAGTCTCCACGACCACATGGAAGCCAAAGGAAAAGATGTTTATCTTCCCTTGCCCCAGTTTCAAGGGCAGATACAGCCTTTCATTGTTGACCTGTAAGAAGGAGAGCAGAGGAAAGCAGAAAAACAGCTGGCCCAGAAATTTCTCAGCTCTCCTTGTCATTAGTTTCTAGAAAGGCAAGTCCCAAGGGGAGCCTGGGAAGGTTGAACACAATCTTTGCATGTAGTGTGTTTATGCCAGCCAACTATTATTATTAGGATTGCAACAGACTTAAATGACTATCCTTTGTACACGAATATACCTATTTATTTCAGTCCCTTCTGTTTATGTCGCATTCTTTTCCCCCCAGGAGTTCAAATTGTTTTCTCCAAGGTAATGAGAGGGTAATAAGAATTCAATTAAAGTTTAGAATAAAATACCTAAACCAAGAACTCTTGTGTTTCTATTTCCAGCTCTACTGTGGATTTATTTTAGGTCAGCCCCAATGTACTCATTCCTTTGGGATTTTGTTTCCTTGGAGGATGGCTTCACTTTGCCAGTCCCTCTGTCTGCCTGGCATGCCACTCTTCAGCCATCAGCCTCCCTCTCATCCTCCAGACCCTGCCCCAAGGTTACCTGTCCTATAAAGCAAGATTTCTGAGTCTGAGACTGTGGTCAGAATTAATCACTCCCTCACCTGGGCAAGCAGAGTGTGTTATTTATACTTTTCTTGTATTCTCCCCCCTGTTTGGCCAAGATCATGTACATGCACACAGCCACTGAAGCACGTAGCACAACCTGCCTTGTGTTATGGTTGATCGTATCTGCTTCTGCCTCACCTACAAGGTTATGAGCAACCTGAGGGCAGGAGGCGTGTGCTATTCATCTTTTTGTCCACCTTTTCCTTGTGACCCTGGTGGGTATGCAGAACAATGCCTCACACTGAGGGGAACCCTGACTCTGGCTTCAGTCTATAAATTTCTAAATTCAGACCACAGGGAAATCCCTTAACATAAAAGTCCAGAACTGCTCTGCCCTTGAACTATTCTGATTCTAATGAGCCACAGCCTATAGCCTGTGACTGAGTTAGAGTGGGATGGAAAATAGAGTCAACCAGTCAACAGGGGAGCTGGTCTCTGACCAGGAATTTCTTCCCCTGACCTCTTTCATCTCTCCTCAGCAACACCTCTCTCAATCTCATCACTTCTGCCCTGGCTCGGACCCTCCTCATATTTCACTTGACCCCTGAACCATCCTAACTTGCCTTTCTGACTCTAGGCTTGCCTTTCTTCTTCATTCACCCGCGCCTGCCATGCCAGCATTTGAACAATGCAATGGAAAAAAGTGGATCGAATACTTAAGCAATTTGCAGAGTTGGAGCACATGTCTGGTATGCTCAACACATCCTTCTGAGCTCTCTAGGTGCTGGCCTGGAGTCTCAGGGCCAGCCCACTTGCATTCTCCACACCAATCTTGCCCCACAGTTTGCAGTCTCCTAAATGGACCAAGTTGTGTCATCCTGGCCCACCATTTCCTATGATTCAAGCATGAGAAGTGTTTTCTGTGTCACACCCAGGCCTCCCATCCCCAGTCATTGTGACTGTGGGCAAGTGGTAATTCATCTGACCTTGTCCCAAGGGGAACCACTTTGCCTGGAAAGTTATGAGCCACCACTCCCTCTCCTCCATCCCAGGGGTAGCCCTTGGTCAATGACCTGTCAATATTGGGGACCAAGTCCATGGTGAAGGTCATGCTCAGAACTTTTAGAAGCCCAAGCTAAAGCAATCTCTGGCTTAGATCATGCCTTGCTGAGCTCTCTTCCCATGGTGCTTCTCTCACTTCCCCAAGAAGCCCCATCTCAGGTTTGCTCCTAAGGAACCCACCCCAAGGCAGCGAGGAGTCCCTTCATTGGGCAATGCTTACCCTGCAACACTCAACTCAACTCTTTCCACTTCTGGGAATATTTGTCTAGGCAGATTTCAGTCATTCATCCAGCAGGCATTAATTTGGCACTACTGCCTGCCAGGCGCTGTGCTGTGCTGGGATAAAGCATGGGGTCTTTTCTCTAATTGCTCATCACATGTGGTAGAGACAAGAACATAAACAGATAATGAGATCATCTGATCGAAGCAGTAATGGAGGTAAATAGATACACAATCCAGACTCAGCCTGGGGACAGACTCACCAATGCCTGTCCATACCAAGTCCCAAAGGATAAGCAGGGGTTGGGTGGTCAAGAAGGAATGAGAGTCAAGAGGACGGGATTCCAAGGAAAGAGCATAGCCCAAAAAAGGGCACAGATGAAAGAAAACAACCTAATAATATGAAGAATGACCACAATTTAGTGCTGCTAGAGTATAAAATGTGGCCTTGGGAATGGTGGCAAATGAATTTGAAGATGGAGAGGCGATGAGGACCTCCACCACAGAGTGCCTCATGTGCACAGGCCATGACATTAAAGCCTGAAATGTGCCATTCATTCGAGGAAAAAGTCATCCGTGACGTTGTTTCATTTTGTGTTGGTTGAGAGGGGTGGTCTTACTATATAGCCCAGGCTGACCTATAACTCTCTAAGTAGGCCAGGTTGGCCTTGAACTTGCAGTCCTCCTGCCTCCTGAGTGCTGGGATTATAGGTATACCCTTCCATCTGCAGTTCATCTGTGATCTTAAAAAACAGAATTTAAGTAGAACGATGAGGCCAGGGTCACATTACAGAAGCAAATCGCACATAAAATGGCAAATAGGAGATACCAAAGTAGAAACAAGCTACGAAGGACTCTGACCAGGAAGGGATGGGAGAGATGGGATAGCACTGAAGGAAGGCTGGGGTTTGGTCTAGAGTGAGCGTGTCTAGGTTTACAGAGAAGGAAGTTATGGAAAGGGAAAGGCTGAAGACACAGGAGGGAGGTGAGACTCATGTCTCATATAAAATGGAATAGCATTTTCATGTAACTCACATGTATCCTCCTGTAAACATTAAATCATCTCTAGGTGAACTTATAACATCAAATGTGATGTAAATGCTATGCAAATAGTTGACCTACTGCATTGTTCAAATCAGTGACAAAAATCTGTACACGTTCAGTATATGTTCAATTAATGCTCGGTTGAACCTGTGGATGCAGACCCAGCAGATAGGGAGGGCTAATCATGTCTGAAATGAGATCACACATTAGAGTTTAAGTAGAGTGTTTTTTTAAACAACCAATCCTGGTCTCCTTCTACAGCCTCTTCGGCCCTCACACCCTGCCCTTTGCTCTCCCTCTCCACCTGCCAGTTATTCACTGATACTTCCCTTGCACAGATGCCCTCACCTCATTCTTAGCCTGGAAAATGTGCTCCTTCAGTCTCAGGTCTGGGTCACCTCCTTCAGGAAGCCCTCTCTGAAGCCCTCGAGCTCTCTTCTCATGGACTTCTGTGAGTCACATTTCTGTACCTCTTCCTATTACAGTGACATTGACTGTTGACATGTCCATCTCTCCCACTGGTATCTCAACTCTCTTAAGATAGAAGCTTTGTTTAATTTCTTGACAGAGAATAGGCATTAATAGAAGCTTGTGGAACTAACAGGAGTCAGAGTGATGGCCCAAACCTCACTCTTCTGTGAGGATCACCAGACTGGTAATAAGTGAAAAAGACACTGGGCCATGAAGGGCATGACTGGGCTGAAGCCTGAGGATGGCTGCAGGAGAGCTGTCTCTGTTCAGCTCTGGCTGTGCATGACTGAGCCTGGGTGCATACAGTGCCCCAGGTGAGGCTCACCTCTGGCTGCTCACCTCCACACCCTGTCTGGCCTATAGATAGCATGTTTATTTCTAGCTTCGTTTGGCTTAGTGGATTTTCCCATGCCCTGTAGAGCTGAGATGCAGAGAAAGGTCAGAGTCATAGAAGGATCCCATGTCCCAAAGAGTCACTTGTATGTCATCTTCCATTTCTGAGAACACCACTGGTGACTAGGGACTCCGGGTATGTTTTGTCCTGCACTTCATTTCATACTGTCATGTTGATGGCCATTATTCTTCAGGCACAGAGAGAGATGGTGACTAATAATAACACCAGAGGAAAAACAAATGCAAATCATTGAATAAGCAGATCCTGTAATACATATTAATAATTCAAACTGACTGCTAAATCTATCTCTCAGGCCCCCAGAGAAAAGAACCTTCAATGCATCCTGAACTTGGTCTTCTTGTCTGGGGTTTGAAAGCTGTCTCCTCTGCTCCTAGTGTTGCCCCATAGGACTTCTGAGTGACTTAGAACGAAGGGCCTTGACAAGGAGTCTCTAACTCCATTCATTTACCCTCCTTGATGCTCACTTCTCTCTAGTTGCCCCCTTTCTGTGTAGAACTGTGTCCCCTAAAAAGATATGTTGAGGTCTCCATCCCTGGTATCTGAGAATGTGATCTTAATTTGGTAATAGGGTCTTTGTAGATGTAATCAAGTTAAGATGAGGTCATAGTAGATTATGTGCGGTCCTAAATCCAGTGACTGGTATCTTTAAAAGGAAGGGGAGATGTGGACAAACAGGGGATACAGAGGGAAGAAGGCACATGATGACGGAGGCATGACTGGAGTTATGCTGCCATAAGACAAGAAAGGCGAAGATTGCCTACAACCACCAAAAACCAGGTCAGAGACATGAGACAGAAGAAGCACAATCTTGTCATCGCCTTGATTTTGAACTTCTGTCCTCCAGAACTGCAAGAGAGTAAGTTTCTGCTGTTTTAAACCACCTAGCCTATGGTATTTTGTTATAGCCACCCTATGGAAACTAACAGTGCCATCCTTTCTATATGTCTATGTGAGAAAGAAATCAGCTGCATGAGTCTCGTGGCTCTTGACATTAGCAATGGGTGCAGCATCTCGTGAGATTGGGGCGGGGCACATGCCTGGAAGATGGGTTGATTCATTAGGAGCTTAACCCTAAAGCGGAAGGAAAGGAAAGGAAATACTAGGAGAGAGTGGGGAATAAGTTTCTATGAAGGTGAGGGAAAGGATCACAAGAAAAAGGTGAAGAGTTGATGAGGACTCCGTGGTCTACATGTGCAAACACTAAGAAGAGGTCAGAAAACAAAATGTACAACCTTAGATCTCAACATATCTAAATGCCAAAAGTGTACAACAAAAGGCAGAAATATGATCATAGCAAGCTAGGTGTGGCAGGACCGGTGAACAGATTATATTTTAAAAGAAAAGAAAAAAACCTGACAGGCAGAAAAGGTGGAAGTGTGGTGAAGGCCATGGAAGCGTGATAGCTGCATGAAAAAGTATAAACCTAAGGGTGAACTGTATCAGACGAGGCTAAAAGGAGAAAAGGACAGATATGATGTAAGCCACATGGACAAAATGATTTGTACATTTGTTTTAACCTATGATGAAATGGAGTAGAGGGAACTTGCTATAAACGAGTGGCTTCAACTATCCTGACATCTGCTCGAAATCTAATGTGGCTAAAAGCAAAGCATCTGGCATATTCCTAACTACCTTTGCTGGTCCATTTAATCTCTCAGATCGCCAAAGAAGTCCAGCAGCAGCAGAAGGAAACTCACAAGTACCTTGGAAGAAAGGGGTTATCATTCACCTCATTTATTCATTTGTCAAGTGTTTTAAGTGTCATGGTGTGCAAAGGCGCTGTACCTTCCTCCAACATAAAGATGAAATAAATGCGCTTCCTGTCCTTAGGAAGCCGGTGGTTGGAGTTGAGGGGATTAGACATGCAAAAATGCATCACTATTAATGGATATGGGAAACATTATGGTAGAAAACACAGAGGAACGCAACTGGGATTGAGGTTTGTGGTATTCAAGAAAGGCATAAAGAGACTACTACCCCAGACGCCAAGAAGGAAGATTTTCCAATATATGTACAGGGAAGACAGTTCAAGCAGCTGGGAACCTCTCTTTGTCAGAGAAAGTTAAGCAAATCTCAGAGGAGGAAAGAAATCAGTAGAGCTCTCCAGGGAACTCGAGTTCAGTATAGTTGTAGTTCAGTTTAGCTCAGAATTTTAAGGCGAATGTACACAAGACACAAAGAAGCCCCCTTGGAGATGATGGGTTAGGACACAGACCTGTAAGGATCTTGTCAAAGAAGGCAAATATCCTAAATAAGTGTCTCTGAAATGCCCCTGCAGAGACTACTGGTTTGCTTGTTATATTTCATGTCAAGCTCAGACAAAACAGTGGAGAATGGAGGACTGGCCCTTTCACCTGGGCCAGCCAAGAAGTTGACAGAACTCCTTGGCCCTACTGCTCATGTCGTCACGGTCAAGGGAGGGTTCTGTGGGTAAAATGGGTGGGAAGGGTAGAAAGAGGAACCTGAAGCCCAGGTGAGTAAAGAGATTGTAGAAAAGCCCCTGGTGCTCCAGGTATGAGGAAGACTCTAGAGTTCCCAGATGTCATGGTAACAATGGGAAAGCTAGAAGAAGTAGGGAAGCCAGAGCAGGCATATATCACTCTGATCTAAGAAAAGGGAAGAAGCGGATCAGTATGATAGTACCACTGAGTGGGACCAAGTCTGTGCTGGAGATATAACCTCTTCCAAATGAATGAAGGAGCTGGGAGGCTAAGTGACTGCCAGAGATTGCACACTGGTTGCCAAACTGGGATTCGAATCTAGATCTGTGTTCTGTCCAACACACAATGTCAAAGGTACATTTCTAGAGCTGGCTCTGCTCTCAATTTGGTGCCTGAGATTTGGGGAAATTCTTTTTTCTCTGAGTGTTGGCTAATCTTATTTGTCAATTTGGTTGGGTTGAGAGATACCTAGGAGATTAGTAAAGCACATTTGTGGGTTTATCTGTGAGGACATTTCCAGAGAAGGTTCACTAACGGTGAAGGACCTGCCCTGAATGTGGGCGGCACCATAAAATAGGCTGGGTACCTGTATGAAATAGAAGGGGAAGAAGAAGAAAACCTGTTAGCTTTCTCTGCCTCTCTCTCTCTCTCAATCTTTCTCTCTCATTCCTGGCCACCAGTAGGTAAACTGCTTTGCTCCACCATGCCCTCCCTACAATGATGGACTAAAATCTCTAAAACTGTGAGCCAAAACAACCATTCCTCCTTTTTATCCTTTCTCATGGGAGAAATGATAAATGAGACCAAAAGCTGACCAACACAGAAAACTGGTTCCAGGAATGGAGTCATTGCTCTGATAAGCTGACAATGTGGTTCAGCATCCTTGGAATTGGTTTGTGAGAGGAATTTGGAAAAGTTTGGAGAAGTGGGCTAGAGAACATATAGAATGCTGTAAAAAGAGTTTTTTATGGGTGATTCTGGTGGGAGCTCAGAAGACCAGATGCTGATAGAAACATACACAGTAAAGATTGTGCTCCTGAAGTTTCAGATAGAAATGAGGATTCTGTTGGGAAATGCACTAGAAGTCATTTGTGTTGGCAAAGAACTTGATAACTTTGAGAAAGGTTGGGTTTCAAGGTGACAGAATAATTAGTCTGGTAAAGAAAATTTCAAGGCAGTGCAGCATTCAGGCTGTGGCATGAGTTTTGCTGGCTGCTTTTAGCCAGATTTACAGTGAGGATCAGGAACAAAAAGCTGAGCAGAAAGAAATGAAAAACAAAGTTTGTTCAGAAAAGCCCTCCAGTAAAGTTGAAGCTAAAGAAAGTGTGGGTGGGAAGAAATTAGCACCCATTGAAAAGAAGCCACAGAACTTTGCATCAGGACAAGGGTAAATGTGCCCTGATGCCATTCTGCAGCCCATTGCAGCCTCAAGGGTGTAAAAGTTAAACGCATTTAGAAGACTTTCCCCTCGAGTAGAAAGTATCACCCAAACACCCTTCCAAGGCCACCTAGGAAGTTGTTTTCTCAAGATTTCTTTCACCATGCTCAGCCATCCAGGCACTCAGAGGCCACCATAACTGTGACCCAAGGGGGCCCAGCTACTGCTTCAGCTGGTAGTAGACCTGGGCATAGTTCATGGGGGTGCTAGTTTTACAGTGTGCAGAATGTAAGAGTTACAGAGTCGTGGAGGCTTCCACCCAGAGTTCAAAGGAAGGTTTGGGAGATCAGACAATGGGTGACAGGGTCAGAATCCCCCCCCTCCACAACCCCTGACAGAGCAATGTGTAAAGCTGTGAGGGTAAAGTCAACGGTACAGTACAGACCCCAGGAATGTGGTGTGTCTACAGAAGAAAGATTCAGACAATGAGCAGAGTCATTCCAAGAGAAAGGCCATGTGAGCTGAAATGGCAAGGCCATACAAGTGTGGTTGCTCCCACCACATCAGCATATGCCATGGATACCAGACACAGAGCTACAGGACTTAATTTTTCCTCTTCTGGGTTTGGGTCCAATATTTCCTTGCTGCTTCTTCTCTTCCTCCCTTTTGGAATTGTTTACTCTGTGACATTGTATCTTGGAAGTATGTAACTTATTTTTTTTTTAATTTTGCAAGGTCTCACAGCTAAGAGTTTGCTTTGAGTCTCAGAGGAGAGTTTGAACTTGGACTTTTAAACAATTCTGGGACTGTTAAGATGATGAAGGGTCTTGGAGATGGACTTAATGTATTTTGCGATATGAGATAGACGTGAGCCTTTTGCGGGGGCCAGAAGAGAACATTATGGCTTAAGGAGATGTGTTTGAGTGTCAAGTTGATAATGGGTAGACTCATGATTGTCAAGTTGGTTAGACTGAAAGATGCCTAGAGATTAGTAAACCACATTTCCAAAGAAGATTAACTAACCGGGGAAGACTTGCCCTTACTGTTGGCAGCACCATCCAATAGGCTGTGGTCCCAGACGGAATAAAAGGGAAAAAAGGAGAAAGACTGTTGGTATAGACTTCTCTTTCTTTCTGCTTCCTGGTCACCATTATGTGAAATGCTCCACTATGGCACACCCTCCATGCCATGATGTACTTAAGCCACTGAAATCATGAGCCAAAATAAGCCATTCCTCCTTCAAATAATTTCTCTCATATTTGTCACAGTGATGAAACGCTACTAACACACTCTCTGTAAGATAGTGACAGAAATTCTCTGAGGCCTATGTCTGCTCTAACATACAATGATTTTCTTTGGATTCTGGACCGGCGTGATTCAGCAGCTGCCCAGTTGCTGGCTTGGAACCCCTATCTTCATATACACGAGTCCCTTCTCCAGATTGATCTGTGACTACTTACCAGCACAGTATACTTGTAAGCCCGGTGAATCACAATGCTGTAGCCAAACACTGTTATATCCACCTGCTTGACCCACAAGGCCAGTGACGGGTCCCGGTCCTCATTCTTGGCTGTCACAGTGAACTTGGGGAAAAGGTCTGAGCTCAGCCTGTTTCCTGTGGTACACAGGATGAGTGGGCAGCTGGTCTGGAAGTCAAACGGGTAGCCATCAAAGGTCAGGTAGTGGCCGTAACCTGAGACAATGCAGGAGGCATCGGTGCGGGCCTGGCAGTAGTACAGACCGTCCTCCTCCACACAATATTCATCATCCTTGCAGGGAATGGTCTCACAGTGCACACTGTTGTCTGTGCCATTGCAGTAGCAGAAGATCTGGCAGTCCTGGTTCATCCAGAAGGTCTCATTGGTAGCAAGTTGGTGCCCCTCAAAGTTGCAGCCACACTCGCTCCGGGTGACACATTGGCTGCCCTGAAGGGCATAACCCTCATCACACTGACATCCCTCAGAGCAGCTGTCCACACAGATGGGGCCCAGGGTCAGGGTCTCACAGGTCTCCGTACATGTCATACACTCCTCAAAATGACTGTTCTCAGGGCACTCCAGAGCTGAGGGTCATCAAAGAGAAGACAGGCTTGAGAAACGGACATAGGACAGAGACAGAAGTATGGAAATGCATGTGCACATGTGTACGCTGTTATGCATTTGTGCAGCACAGCGAACTAATTGAAGCTGTGTTATTAGCACCATTGTCATCCTCATTGGGGGCGATCAAAGGCCAGTGAACCCCCTACCCACAGTCTCCACTAGTGCCCATGGCTTTCCATGGAGGAAATTTTGACTACAGAGCACTTGCTACATACAGGCACCACCTAGGCCCTTTGTGTACCTTATCTCAACCACCTGGACAGGAAGGCGAGTCTTCTCATTCCTCTCTTACTAGTAGAAAATTGAAGGTCAATAGTTTAACTATGCAACTAGTAAGAACTAGAGAGGTCTTCAAACAGGTCTCCTGGCTTAGATTCTGGAAGAGGGAGTGTGGTGTGCTGTGAAGATTGTGGTTTGGGGCCATACAGATGTGGGGATGCTGCTGACTCAAGTTTAGCTGGTTAATGTCTTTGAGCTTTGGTTTCTTCTTTTGTTAAATAAGGGCCATATTTACCTACTAGGATGGTTCTGAGGGTTAACAGTAGAATATATGGGTCCATAGTTGGATCTCAATAAATAGTTTCCCCTTTCCTTCTTTGGTCTCCCTTCTCTTTCACAGATTGACCTTATGAAGATATTTTTACTCTATAAATTGGTTCAATGTCTTTCTGTTTGTCTTTCATTTCTCTGGAGGTGGTCTCATCCACCTCCTTGCCACACTGCACATGGTCATCCCCACCAGCTCTGCTCCCACTCTTTCCCTGTCTGGAGGCTCTCCACACGCCAAATCTGACCTATCCTCTATGTTTAATTTCACATCACCCTTCTGCTCAGAAGCCTTCCTAGATAGATCAAGCCTCTGAGTCACAAAGCATAGCACACAAAATACCATGTGCGGCTCACCATGAAGTTCTGGGTAAGTGACCCATTTCTCTTTTCTACTGTGGTTGGTCACAATTTGACAGGGGCAGAGACAGAATCCAGGAGCATAGAAGAAACTGGTCTATAAGTCTGTGTGGTCTAAAATCTGCAAAGTTCCCCACCATCTCTGGGAAAATAAGATCTTGCCTTTAGAACTCTCTTTGGTTCTTATATACACCATCATTCCTTAGTAGTGTCTTACAATCCAAGGATATAAAGGACACTACAGAAAAATAAATTGTAAGGCCATAATATCTCTGCCCACGAGTACCAACTCAATAGTTCTGCACTGTGTACTGCAAGCTGATCATTCTTTCCTCTGGGCTAAAGGACTCTATTTCCGTTGACTACAAAACCATATGGCTTTGGAGTTGAAGGCTAGTTCAGCACTTATTATATATGTCTGTATAGAGGGATTTCCACATTTGTCTCTAACTTATGAATGCTGTAACACTGACTGCAGGTTTATGGTGACAGCAAATAACATGACTTATTTAAATGGCTCTTGCTTTAAGAATTATTGTGTTGCCTGAAAGTCTGGAACATACAGACATTTAGTAATAAAATTTCCCCCCAGTCCCTGAAATGACTCTGTTAAATTACTAATTAAGGCAGCTTGGCTCTGCCAGCTGGAGGACGAGTTGAAAATATCTGAATACAGAAGCAGTGGTTGTCTCTCTTCATGTTCCAGGTCACTGAAAATCTTCTGATTTTCAGCTGTTGTCCTATCCAATCTCCATTCAGTAGGATCTCAACCATATTAACCCCCTGGGACCTGGAGACTTGATTGATCAAGTGTGTGTGCTTTGGTCCTTTTCCACAGACCCAGATGCACAAGGTCTACATGAGACATCTTGGGAAATGTCTTCGGATGTGAGTCCTGGTCCTTTGCCCAAGGTAACCACATTCCACATGGCTGCTGCTACCCAATCTCTATAAAAAGGCACTTGCAAGAGCTTCCTCCACTCTACTGGCCCACATGAGGGATGGTAAGAAGCTCTTAGCCTCCATCACATCTAGGAAAAAAGAGGGACCATTACCACTGTCCCAGACTAACTTGGCACACACAGTTCCACCAAACTTTGTTCCATGCAGTACAAAGACAATCCAGAAACATGCTCTGCCAGGCAGGAGTTAGTCATCCAGAAGGATGGCCTGGCACCAACACAGATTTGGTATGGCTAGACTCAACAACTCCACACAATGAATGAAATACTACTTGAAAGCTAGGTGTGAAACAGAAGTAAAAATTGTGTTAGATAAGCTGTAGATAGGACAAAAGAGGATGCAAAGAGGTAGATTTGGGAAAGTATTAAAAGGTCCCACTAGATGTGATGTGGTCCCCTGCTGTAGGTGACTTTATAAAAAGAGCATGCTCCTAGAAACCCAGGATTCATAGTATCTGGTATTAGTCCCATCCCACTGTGGGTAAGACCCAGCAGGGACACAACCATCTTCCTTGGAGGTGACAGCTACCAATTCCTCCATGTGCTCATTGGACTTCCCAAGCTCAGAAATCAGAGATTTAAAGGGGTGTATGTGTGTGTGTTAGTTCTTAACTCTGTTGTTTGCCTAGAGGTGAAGCAAATACCTGCCCCCCCACCAAAAGCAATGGGTGTCCCTTGCTATATACTGGTTTCTACTAACATTCCACACCAAAAGAAGCCAGAACTCCTTAGTTACTGGGCTCAGTGTACCTGGGGAAGAGAAGGTTAACGTGGAGCATCTTGCTTCATCAGAAAGTAAGAAAGTGCTCAAAAAAAATGACAAAGGGGCTGATGGAGTGGCTCAAGTGGTAGAGCACCTGCCAAGCAAGTGTGAGGCCCTGAGTTCAAACTCCAGTACTGCCAAAAAAAATGACACAAGCATAAAAAAAGAAAATCGAAGCCAGCTTGAAGGGGTTCTATAGGCCAGATCTGGAACATAAACACCCAAAATAATTAACAAAAGTAATATGAAATGTATTCTACTGAAAAAAAAAACTGGATTCCATGTCTATGTTGATAATATAAGGGAAAAAGAGAGACAGAGGGAAGTATGAATGGATGGGTGAGTCAATTGTTAGACAGATGGGAGAGAAAGGAGGGCTCTTGCCTACAGTGAAGTGACATTATTGACTGGTGAAAGGAGTTTATAAACCATGATTTGAAATTTATGCACCGTGAAAGGGATTACAAACTGGATTTGTGATCACAGTGTGAAAGATGGATACAAGCAAAAATCAACAATGGGTGCTGAACCAAGAAAGGGCATTTTATGACAAGTAGGATATTTGCATGGTCTTAAAGTATCTCCCTATAGTCTGCTTGTTGGTTGCAAGGGGAGACAAACAGGGACTCTCCAGTGGAGACATATGACACTTGACCAGGGATCCACATGCACCTCACCAACTGGTGACGTGGCTGGACACAGTGTGTCCACATGGGCTGGGATCACAAGAGAAAATCTGTGCAGAGGCTGAATTGGGATGCACAACTGAATCTCATCCTGAAGAAACACCAATGCAAATGGAAGCCATTCTATTTTAAGGCTGGGGGTGGGATGGGGAGAGGCTGTAGTCTTCAAAAATACCAAGGTAACAGAACACAAAGAAAGAAGAATTATTTCAGATTAAAGGAGACTAAAGATTCATGACAATAAAATGCATCCTCTGTATTGAGACCAAAAGATAACAAAACAAAAAAATAAAATAAAAAACTTCATAAAGGATATTATTAGGTCAACTAATAAAATTGGAATAGGGAAATTAAATTATTTTTTTAATTGTAAATTTCCTAAGGTTGATAACTGTATTACGGTTATCTAAGAAAATGTACTTATTCTAAGGAAATACGCACTGAAGATTTAGGGTAAAGGGGGCTGCTATAGTTTGGATCTTAAATGCCTCCCAGAGGTTAAAGTTTTGACCCCCAGCATGGCACTATTGGGAGGTGGTGGGACTTGAAGAGGTGGAGCCTAGTGGGAGGTCTTCCAGTCAATGGGCTGATGGAGGTATGTTCTTGAAGAGGACAGTGGGACCTCAGCCCCTCCTCTTCTCTCATTCGTAAGATGAATGACTCTCCCCTTCTTGTTCCCCACCATGATGCTTCCTCACCACAGCCCAAAAGCAATACAGTCAACTGACCATGAACGGAACCATGCATTAAAACAAGTTTTCTCTCTCTGTAAGTAGATTGCCTCTGGAATTTGTTACAGTGATGGAAAGATGACTAACACAGAGGGGTTACTCTCTTTCTTTTTCTTTGGTGGGCTGGAATTTGAACTCAGGAGCAAGTCATTGTCAAAGGAAAGTAGAGAAGGATGGAGAGAAAGAGAATATGACAATGGGTTAATAGGTTAATCTGGGTAATGGGTGCACAGGTATTCTTGAAACTTTTACTTAACCTTGAAATTATTTTTTTTAAAAAGTTAAATGAATTTAGGAGAAAAGACAATGGTAGAGAGATATACAGATGTTGAGGCCAGAAAACTCATGGTGGCACTGGTTTTGGATTAGGGATGAGTTTTTGGTGGGACAGTGATGTGTGCTGAAGTCCAGGCAAGGTGTTACTTGCTCCCAGCTCTGGCCGGGTCACAGTCACTCCCTTCTCCTTTGACTACTCCTGATAAGCAAGGGCATTTAGTGTCAGGTCTTCCCAGCAGTTATTGTAATGACTATTAGTGTTGCCACTGCCCTGCCGAGAGGAGTCACATACTCTGAGGATGAAATGAAGAGTCAGGAACATGGAACTCTCTTAATAGCCATTGTCAGGTTTGCCCCCAGAGAGTGGTGCTAATCTCCATACCCTGAAACTCAGACTCCCAGTGGATCACCAACTATCAAAATGAATGAAGCCCTTCTTTGCCCAGGGAGAAGGTACCTACCAAGCCATCACAAAGAATTCCAGCCCTTTGACATGGCATTTGTGCCCTCTGCTAGATAAAACTGTGAGTCAAGACAATGGCTAACTGATTTACAATGAAAAGGTATTATGTCAGTTGGAACACAAAAGAAGGTGAGAAACAGCTTGGTTTGGAGTGATGGGCCTTCTGCAGGATACAGTGGCCTGGGGATGGTGTACCCTATAACAAGACTACCCTTGAGCTCAGTCCCCCAGGAAGAGATGTCCTGAGTAAGAACATAAGGCTGCCCCCCTCCCAGGCAGCCTCCCCATTATGGAGCCCCAACTTACGACAGAAGTCATAGGTTCGCCAGGGGCCCACCTCCACATCGGCATTCTTGCAAGCACTAGCATAGCGGGCCACAGAGTCGCAGAGCTCTGACTCATTGCCCCCACTCTGGCACAGGCGGAAGAGGCAGGTGCGGTAGTAGGCAGTGACATTGACGACCCCATGACACTCTAGAAAGGAGCTGTTGGAGGGGTCGTTGATGATGCCACACCTGGCGCGGCTCCGGTAGAACTTGAGCAGCTCCGAGTCGTTGTTGCAGGCCTTCAGCAGGTCCCCGCACTCCCCGTTGCAGATCTCCTCGAATGTCGTCCAGCTCTCCAGGAACACGGCCAGGTTGTCCGTGCACTTGCCATTGGGGAGGCAGAACTCATCACTGGCATTGCCATTGAAGAAGCCACACAAGCCCCCAGTGCAGTTGAAGTACGCTGTGGACAGCCGGATGTACAACAGGCCCACGTCTGAGTACTGGACGCTCACCACGCCCTTGGACTCCACCGTAGTACTGTTTTTGTTTCGATAAATCTCCAGCTTCCCCGAAGGATGGAAAAAGGGTAATTCTACTTCCTGACCATTCACCTGAAAAAAATCAAAGCACTGCCAACAACCGCAGAGACACACAGAACATCTACCACTTCTGAGGCTGTGGAACATGGTTCTGCTCAGGGACTAACTCTGAGAAATACCAAAAAGCTGATGGTGTGTGGAAACTATAGACAGACACCAACTATTCATTCATGGGCTTGTTTCTTTCCTTTGAAACTCCCATTCACTCTTTATTTCTGTGTGTGATAAACCCTAAGCTAGCCCCAAATAAATAAAATTGAAACGTAAGCAAAAATTGTCTCATATCCACGGCCTCCTCCTACTCCCTGACATATTCATTTGGACACCTCTTTGCAGACAGCTCTGCTTCCTCCCTGCCTTTCTGGCTCTTTCTTTCCTTCCAAATCTGACTTTTCATGTGTCTCAGCCCTTTGAAGCAGATACAGGCTATCTAACAATCTAGATATCTATTCACCTATCTATCCCCTGCTATTCCTTTACTAAATTTGTTTCTGTCAGTCTGTCAGTAGGATGAGAACACAGCCCTTTCTGTTGATGGATGTATGTTTTCTGATCTCTTTGGACTGTGCTGTGCTGACGTTTGTCTCTAAACTAGACTTCACGTGATACCATGAGGCATGTTAGACTGGGAGAAGGGACTGTCCCCTCCCCACATCCCAGCTCTGCCTCAGTTAGTCATGGGACCCACAACTACTCCTTTGGGATCTTCCTGTAAAATCGAATAGCTTCACTAAGTGATTCCCAAGATTCCTTCTAGAGCTACTGATCAATGAGCTTGGATGTCTAATGATGGGTACTTTAGCAGGTCAGAGGATGGGAGGCCCCAAGGCAGGCACCTGCTACATTACCTCACATGGTTTCCCATCTACATTAGGAACATAGTGTAGTCCAAGGGTTAAGAGCACAGATTCTGGAGCCAGACGGCTTGGGCTTCTTGGCTATTTCATAACTGTTTGTCCTCGGAGGAAAGTCTTTTTGGCCTGTCTGTGCCTCAGTTTTCTCACTTGTAAAAGAAGAGTAATAATACTATCTATTACATAAGGTTAAGTGTGCTTAGAACAGTGCTTGGCCCATAGCATTCTGTAACCATCTGCTGTTACGGAGAGTGAGTCCTACTCCATCCAATTCAAAAAATTCCAGCTTTGTTCCATTTCTCCACCTGTTAAGAGTCTTATTTGGTACCGATGGATAGAAAGGGCTCCTACTTGGGAGCCGCCTCCCTTCTAGAATCCACTCCTGGCCAGAGGCAGAAAGGCAAACCAGATGAGAAGGGCAAGTTCCTTCATTTGGCATGAATCATCTGAAGACCCTCAAAGGAAGCAATCAGTCTTACCTTGACTTCTGAAGCCCCAACTCCTCCTAGCTTGACCTCCTGATCAGCCACCAGAATCCGAAGAGCCCGGAGCCAACTGGGTCCTGCGTCAGGCTTCTTCTTGTTGATGTCGATTTCCAAGTAGTCAGGATGCTCGGGGCAGGTCTTCAGGAGGGTATAGGAGAACTCAGAGGGGAAGGCATAGGCAGCACCATCGAAGGTGTGCAACACCTGGTTCTGGCTGAGCAGGCACACGGTCTCCCGCTTGGGGAAGCAGCCCTGGTAGCCGTCCTCCACTGCACATACCTCCCCGCTGCGGCAGGTCTTGTTGAAGCAGTAGACATCCCCACCCTCCTCACACAGACACTGAACGGTGCAGTTGGCCGTAGCCCAGAAGAATTCCCCCATGGTATAGTAGTGGCCTTCAAAGTCACAGCCGCACTTGTGCAGCGGGACACATTGGCTGGTGCTGAGGACGAAGCCCTTGTTACACTCGCAGCCCTCAGTGCATGGCGTGGCACAGCTCTGAGAGGCCGTCAGGTCAGAGCAGGTGTTGGGGCAGCTGCTGGTGCACACAGAGTAGTGGCTGAAGCTCGGGCACCGCACGGTGGACACTGACCCAGGGAAAGGAAGAGAATGTATCATAGGTGAGTGGACCCGGAGGGCTACCTGCCAGAATCCAACCAGCACAGGGGCCTGGAGAAAAAGTGCTCCTTCTGATCTTTGGGTCCTAGATTGAGGGCCAAGCGGCCATACATATGGGAAGAGGCTGGATGTAGAGTCTGCAAAAACCAGCTCAGTGACTTTCCTAATAACTAGGGAGCCATGTGGTTGGATTGTGAGAGAGAAATTTGATCATTTCTGCTAAAATTAAACTTCTGGTTGCTGTCCTCACTACACTAGATCCATTCTTCAACATAGAATTCTCTTCTACCACCAAGATGTTTTCAGATCTTCAATGGATGGACATACGAACTGACCTGATTTTAAAGAGCATGGCTCATTCTTAGAAGAAAATACATTCCACTTTCAGGAGAAATGGAAACCGTAACTGGTAAAGGAGTAATTTGAAAACATGAAATTTTGAACAGGGAGGTATTTCAAATACCTGAGTGTGACTAAGGCGGGCCGTGGAAATGAATTTCCGGGGATATTAAGATTGAGAAAGAACCCCAGCAATATGCAAAGATCATGAGCCAGCTCCTCCAAGAGACTGGATGGGAACTAGCTGCCTTCTGAAGGTCCTTTGTGCCTTAGAAACCTTCTATTTTTATTTTAAGAGTGCCCAAGTCTACATAAATGTTTGAATTTGGTTGAATCCGGCAGGCAGGGGTGCAGAGGCCTACTAAAGATGCTCTCTGAGTTAAATATAATACATTCCTCTAAAGTGAGCAAGAAGAAAAAAGTGTGCAAGTTTGAAAGCAGAACCACTAGAAAAAAATACAGGCATTATACATAAAATTTAGGTAGGCAATTTGGACGCTCTTGGATTGTATAAAGATCAAAGAGAAGCCAGGTTCTAGCTCAACTTGAATTATGGTATGGCTGCTTTGGGCATAATAGAGGCTGGTCAGTCACATACCAAGAAAAATGCACTGTCACTTAGTAGTTTGACCAATACTCTAAGATTTGAATCTGACATGTGAGGATTTATATGAATCCAACCTATACTTACAGGGCAAAAAACATCTTCCTCTGGCCTTGAAATTTAAAGAGACTTTTAAATCTTCTTGCCTCCAGAGCCTCTGAAAGGCATGGATTACAATGTTCTGTTTACTCACATGGAAGAAACCAAGGAGCAGGAAGGAAACAAATTAGTATTGTTTTGTTTTAAAAGTTTATATAAGTAGGAAAAGAAAGAGAGATTTGGCCAGAGTAGAAGGGACACACAGCAAGACAACTAAATAGTACAAAATGCTTCATCCAAAAGTGGGAGTGAAAAGAATCTGATTTCCCCACAAGTCAGGGCTTCTACAAACTGGTTGCTATTAGCATTTGGGGAAAGGGTTTTCTGTATTGATATATTGTATTCCCTGCCTGAAGCACTTTCTGTCATTGGTCATGTGAAATGTTCCAGAACAAAGGGCACAAAATCTGAAGGAACTAGAAGTGAAAGCAGGAGCCAAGGATCAATGGTTGAAGGATCCATTTGGGACGGAGTAACCTTCCCAAGGATGGTTTTGGTCCCTCAGCCAGTGTCTGCTCTTTCTCAAGCTCTCCCTCCACCTCTGGAAACCTCACCTCCTCACTCAACTCTGGGGCTGCCACCCCTGCTATGGGCCTTCCTCCAGCCATTCATTCTGTGTCTGCAGACTATTTGTGTTCATCAGTGGTATCCTGTTCCCTGGCTACGCTATTGGGTGGGGGAAGTAAAGGTCCCTGTACAGTTCATTCTTTGTAATTTGTGTTATTTCAACCTCACCCCCACTCTTAGGCCTTATGAGTCTTAAGGGGATTTGGAGGAGCCCTGAATCCTATCCCTGCCCCCAGCACAAGAGAGGCCTTTCATTGGAATGGAACACCAGCTTACCACACCCGGTCTGGATTCGCCAGTCTCCAATTGGGATGCCAAGGGCTTGGCACACCAGGGCATAGGCCTGGATAGCTTGACAGAGGAGCGTGCCATTGTCCCTTACACTGCACAAGTCATACACACAGCTGTGCACAAAGGCTGTGGGGTCCACAACAGTGCCACACTCCCACAGGGGGCCGTCTGTCTTATTGAGGAAGCCACAGTAGTCAGAACCGAAGTAGAGGGCTTCAGTGGCAGCATCGCACTGTGTGCAGTTGTCCACGCAGCCCGAGCCGCACTTCCAGTCGGCGTGGTAGACACGCCAGCTCTCTCCCAGGTCCAGCACGGACATGGCTGGCCTGCCATCTGGGCGGAGGAAGTCATC